TTAAATAAGATAATAAAAATCACATACCTAAAAAAAAAAAAAAAAGACGAGAGAGAAATAAAAGACCAAAATGAATGACAGAAGTGAGACATGCTCTCGAATGTAGGGTAGCTAACGCCGATGGAAGAAATGCTGAGGTTAAAGAGGTGTTTCAAAGCGTAGCTTGAGAAGACAACGTAAAGCCTTATAATGAAATATGTAAAGACCTGGATTTAGAAAGCAAAAAGGGAAGAAGAAGCTTGGTATTTCTCAGGCTGGAAAAAAAAATCAAGCCTCTCGTAAACTGGAAGGATTCGGTGGACAAAATATAGAACCATTCAGGAAAGCATCAAACGAAGACGGAAAGAATGCACAGTCACTGTACCCCAAAGACTTGCTCAGCATTTAACCATCTCAAGAGGTAGCATATAATCAAGAACCGATGATACTGAAGGAAGAAGCCCAAGCTGCACCGAAGGAAGGCTGTGGTGGAAAACAAGGCTCCAGGGATGGACTAAGTCCCAACTAAAATGCTTAACAAAAAACTAATACTGCACTGGAGCACTCATTAATCTTTGCCAAGAAATTTGGAAGGCAGCTACTTAGCCAATTGAAAGATTCATATGTATGCCCCTTTCAAAGGAAAGTAACCCAATTTAATGTGGAAATTATAAAGCAACGTCATTAATATTCCATGCAAGTACCATTTTGTTGAATATATTTTAAGACAGTTACAGCAATACATTGACAAGGAGAGCCCAAAGATCCGAGCTGTGTTCAGAAGAGGAAGTGGAGTGAGAGATATCATTGCTGATGTCAGAGAGATCTTGGTTGAAATCAGAAGACACCAGACAGATGTTTACTTGTGTTTTATTGACTCTACAAAGGCATTGAACGGTGTGGACCTTAACAAGCTATACATGGCCTTGCGAAGCATGGGAACTCCAGAGCATGGTGCGCCTGCGGCACCTAGACATAGACCAAGAGTCAGTGGTTCAAACAGAACACGAGGATGCTGCACACATTAACAGCAGCAAAAGCGTGCATCTGGGTTATATCCTTTCATGATGCATACTCAGTCTGAATGCTGAGCAAACAATCCAGAAGTAGGAGCATTTGAAGAAGCGGGCATCAGGATCAGAGAAAGTCTCATTCACACCCTGTGATATGCAGATGCTGCAACCTTGCTCCCCGAAAGGCAAACACTTACTGCTGAAGATCAGACCTGACAGCCTTCAGTGTGACTACAACTCAGGGTAAAGAAATCCACACAGCTGGATCCTTACGTAGCATCATGATAAGTGGAGAAAAGATCAACGTTATCAAGGATTTCATTTTGCTTGGATCCACAATCAATGCTCATGGAAGCACCAGTCAGGAGATCAAATGACACATCGCATGGGGTCAGTCTCTGCAGGAGACTCTTCGAAGCGTAAAGATACTGTTTTGAGGACTAAGGTGTGCCTGACCCAATCCATGGTATGTTCAGTGGCCTCATGCATGTGACAGCTGGACAATGAGCGGGGGAAATGGTAAAGAATTGGTGCATATGAATTATGGTGTTGGCAAAGAGTATTTAAAGTCCTTTAGACTGCTAGAAGAACAAACAAATCTGTATTGGGGAAGGTGTGTTCCTTAGAAGCAAGGATGGCAAGACTTTATCTCACAGACTCTGAACACATTATCAGGAACGACCAGTTCCCGGAGAAGGACACCATGCTTGGTAAAGGAGATGGTCGGCAAAGCAGCGAAAGGCCCTCCACGAGGTGGTTTGATACCATGCTGACAGTCTTGGTCGTAAGCACACAGCCATTGGAGGATGGTGCGGGATCATGCTGTGGGGCGTCGGGTTTCTGTGCGTCAGAACTGACTGGCTGGACGCTAACACAGCAGTGTTTGGAAGTTCCATTCCTTTGTCTTTGAAAACCACTGTTCCCGGATCTTATTTTATGAGTTCTCCCCTAAATCAGATGAAAGCATTTTACAGGTAGACTTGGATTTTGCGAGTTTAAAACCAGATGAAAAATGGCTTTACAAAGGAAAAGATTGCGATATTTGACTATGTAAAAATGCAAATCGTTTATAGCAAATAAAATAAAATACGAAGGCTACCTAGATTGAAAAAAAAACTTTGAAAGCATTTGATGAAGAATTAATATCCTAAATATATAATGAGATGATATAAATTGATACTAAAATATGAAAAATAGGTCAAATAAATGTGCAGAAGACCCAGATAGCCAATAAAAGAAGAAACACCATTAACACACAAAGATGTAGGAATGAAAGAGCCAAAGACAGACACATTAAAAGACATTATTCTTTTTGCCCATTTTATGCTAAAGGTATTTGTCTATTAGTTTGTTTTAAAATAATACTGATGACAGTATGCTAGGCCAGGCAGCTGCATACATTTCTGGTGGAAACGGGAAGTGCTGAAACTTCTTAGAAGTTGGGTTGACAGTGTGTGTCAGAGCTTAAAAAGTGCTCATCCTGGTTGCCTTTGGAATACTGCTCCTAGAACTTTTCCCTACGGAAACATATCGCCACGTGGACCCAAGTGTACAGTCAAAGACATTGATGGGCAGAGTTATTTTAGAACAGCGTCCTGCCCGCCCCACTGACGCTCTTGGGCTGTGCTCTGCAATTGTCTCACAGATTACAACGAGTGTGAAGGCGGCGAGGATGACTGTGTGCCCGGATCCTCCTGCTGGAACACCCTGGGGTCCTTCACGTGCAGCTGCGCAGGAGTGGACCCTGACTTCTGGGTCGAGTATCCTGGGAGACCCTGTCAAGGTAAATAATTCTCATCATCCTGGGCCTGAAAAACGGTCCCATCTTTGTCCTTCAATTGCACTCACATATAAAGTGCCTACTTACCAATAAGGGCAGTCTCTTTGTCCTGGGCAAGCTTCTTAATTGTGTGCACGCATACACGCATGTGTATGTGTTTATGCGTGTGTTGTCTTTGCCAAGCCTCCAGTGGAGTAGCGATCTTCATTACGCGTGCTGCGGAACAGCAACACCACAGTTAGGTGACTTTAATAAACGGCATTGATTTTCTCAGTCACAATGGCTGGAGGCCCCAATGCAGAGCGCTGCATCTGGGGGAAGGCTTTCTCCCTCATCAGCATTGGTGGAAGCTCCTGTCTCCTTTGAATACCTGAAGGCCCAGCGTCCCTTGAGGTCTCCAGGTGTCTTGGGGTTAATCTTCCCCTGAGTCTAGGACATTCCTGTTGCAGAGACCCTGAATCCCAAGGAATCGCCAGGCTCCTAACTTTTCTTTCCTGGGGGCATGGAGGTTCCCCACTCTCTGCTGCTTCCGGCTCTTTCTGTATCTTGGAAGTGAAAAATGATGCAGGCCACACCCCAGAGACACCCCCTTCATACCAGGTCAGGGCTGTGACCTGCTAAAGGTGTTGCATCTCACTCAGACCTTACAATGGATGGGTTCATCGTATCAGATCAAACCGTGGGAATCAAGGCCCAGTGGAGTTGGCTCACTTTTGGAGGGGAGGCATGCTTTACTTATGTCTCCAAGCACAGGTTCCAATGCCTATGATGAGAAAGTACGCACATGAGGTCGGGCAGGCTGAGTGTGCGATGGCTCAGTCTTCAAGTGCAGTCAGGCAGCATGGGAACCGTCTCTGCGTGGCCACTTTGCACACAGCAGCTTCCCCCCTCAACATGCCCTGGGGCAGCTCAGGGGTGTCAGGAGATTCAGTGTTGACAATGAGCTGACTCGGCCCTAGGGACTGGAGTCCCATGGAAAGAGACAGATTTCTGTAGGAGGCAGACTGCTGTCACAGCAACGTCAAATGTGCCACGATGGAGCTTGGGTGACGGCACCAAAGAGACCCCAATGCCAACTATAATGTAAGGAGGATATTTATTCAGTCTTAAAGGGGACAGAGACACCACAAGGACCGGTCATCCCGATGACGGTGGCCACTAGCACAAGGCCAATGTGGCATTCACAGTTGGGACAGTAGCTAGATTAGACATGGGACGGAAGAAAGGGCCTCACAGTTACAGGTGGGACTCTAACAGAAGGAGGAATTGGGACGGTGACTGGGACGCATGCATTATATTAGAGGCAAAGGCCCCACAGCCAGCCAGCCAGCCCTGCCCGCACACCGGGGCCTTTTCCACCGTCAGAGCTTTGCTCCTGTCATCCCAACCACCCCTGCAGCGCCAAGCTCAAAGAGACCCCTTCTTCCAAGCTCTCTCTGAGCCCTCACACCCAACCAAGACAACCCACACCCCTCTGGACTTTGCAAATGGATTTAGGTCTGTCCCTGCCACTTTGCCAACCGGATGCTCTGGGCAGAGGCTTGGATTTAGCCCAGAGACAGGAGTGACCAGCTAACGAGGCAGAGCTTTGAGGAGGTGTGGTGTGTTCCAGGCTATCGGATGTTGAGGCTAATCGAGATCAAAGATATGACCACAAGATGGCAGTGTTGCGCACAGACCCCAAACCCAAACCCACAGCCATCTAATGGATTCCAACCTCTGGTTTCCCACCCTGTAAATATTTTATGGGAGCCCACCCACCGCCATTGAGTCACAGCCACCCTATAGCACAAAGCAGAGCTGCCCTGTTTGGGTCTCTGAGACTGCAAATCTATAAAGAAGCAGACAGCTTCATCATTATCCCATGGAGTGGTGGATTTGAACCATTGACCTTGCAGTTAGCAGTTCAGTGCCTTAACCCACACAGCCATGTATGTATTGGGGTGGAAATATTGATAGCTAGTGCATGTGAGTGGTGGTCCCAGGAAGAAGCACCTTACAAAGGCAAGTGACTTGGGGGTACTTACCAGAGGGGGTCCAGGGCAAGAAGCCCCACCCCACCCCTCACCCAGGGAAGGAGAGGGGAAGTAGAGAAGGGCTTACATGTCTAGGCAATGCCCCTTAGTAGCAGCGTGGGGAGCCTCTTCAGAGGAGCCAAGGTGGTGCAGTGAGTTAAGTGTTGGGCTGCTAACCACAAAGTCAGCAGTTCGAATATACCAGCTGTTCCTCAGGAGAAAGATGAGGCAGTCTGCTTCTGTCAGGATTTGCAGCCTCGGCCCAGCTCACTATGAAGAACTAAGCCACTGGAGGCCAGTCCACATAGGCTGTCTTTGCTCCTGTATATGTCAGGTCTCTGGAGGGAAAAGAAGTTGGGACAAGGCCCACAGGGGCTAGCCTGCCCCGGGGGGCATCACGTGGCTGAATGGACCCAGCAGCTTGCTCTTCTGGCCTGTGGGGATAAGAAGAAAGCAGGTGTAGGAACTAGGTTCCCATGACGTCAAGAATCAATGTGATTGACTGTAGCCTAGAGATCTGAACTTAGGCCTTGAGGTCAGACACTTGGACCAAGTCCACAAGGCAGGCACACACAGAGTCAGCTGGGAGAGGCTGGAAAGGCGGGGGCTGTCTCAGTTTTTCAGGGCTGCTGTGACACAAATATGGGGCCGTAGTTGTTACGTGGTGGGCTGTGATCCAAAAAGTCACCAGTTCAAAACCACCAACTGCTCTGGGGTAGAAAGACGAGGCTTTCTACGGTAAAGAGTTACCATCTCAGAAACCCACAGGGGCAGCTCTACTCTGTTCTACAGGGTCCTTATGGGTCTGCATCAACTCGATGGCAGTGAGTTTGGTTTGGGATTTGATGATACAAATGCCACAAGTGGGGATTTTATAGAACAGAAGAGCATTTCCTCACTGCTCTGGGCTCAGCCTCCAAATCAGGGTCTCAGCAGTGTTGATTGTCTCCCTGTTAGCAGTCCCACGTGTTCCTTGGTTTCTTGATTTGTAGAGGACCCTCACAGGGTGTCTTGTCTTCCCTGTGTGTGTGCAAGAGCGCTGTCTTGTGAACTCCCCTTTCAGCTGATCATCTGATTATACCACATTAGATGGCGTTGTGGAAAGCAATTACTTACGTTAGATGGCAGGTCACAACATTGGGTTACATTATAAAAGGCTCTTTGCTCTACCAAAGGCCATCTGATTTAACCACATTCCATAGCAGCTCGTGTGACTCTCTATAACAGCAACCAGCCTAGTGTCCGGCTAAGCAGCCAGGGACCATAAGGCCCAGTCCTATGACAAATTCAATAAACTATTAAAAGATCCTTGGATTCCTTGGTCCACAGTGGCGGCCTCTGAGGAACCAAGCCCAGTGCATTGGCTAGTAAAAATGTTCAACGTGTGTGTGTGTGCATTGAATGGACGGTTCCTGATTTGGGGCATTGCCAGGCATAGAGTGGGTCCCTATATGCAAATCAACCACCGCCACCCCCAAAGGTTGGGCTTACATACCTGAACCGAAACATGGACCCACTTTCTCTCTGTCTCCTTGTGCAGGTGACTCTCCTGGCAATGCAACTTGGGCTCCTGGGTCCTCTCTGGGCCCTGACACAGAGCAGCCTCCCACCTCCCCAGGAACTGGGGCTCCCCTCACACAGGGTGCAAACCTCACCAGCCAGGGCCTGCCCCAGCGGATGAGGCTGAAAGGGGCCGTCAGGGTGCTCTGTGAGATCGAGAAGGTGGCCATCACCGTCCAGAAGCGCTTTCTGCAGCAGGAGGCCATCCCGGAGTCCTCCCTGTACCTGGGCGAGCCCCCCTGCAACGTGAGCGGCGGCAACAGCACCCACGTGCTCCTGATGGCTGGCTGGAGCGAGTGCGGGACCGCTGTGCAGAGCGTGAGCACTGGGCAGGCATGCAGGGTGGGGGGAGGTGGGGTGTCCTGCCAGGGTCCTCTCTGGCTTGGGGGCCCAGGAAGACCTTGCATCCCAAGGTCTCTGTCTCTTGAGAAGGGGACCCAGCCAAAGGGTTAGGACAGAGCTAGGGTGTCAGGCTGCACCCTGAAGCCAGGCGGGAGCCAAGTGCCTGTCCTCGCTACAGAGTTTGATGGAAGTGTGTGCGAAGGAGCCACACCGGGGGCGGGGTGTGTGTGTGGCACCTCCCCCTACGGGTGATTTCACAGGCAGACAGGGCTGAGAGGAGACAACAGGGCTGAAGGACCTCGGAGTGTGACTGTATGTGGATATGAGTGTGTGGAATGAGTGTGTGAGAGAGATGTGCATATGTCAACGCACGGGGGCGTGTATATTTGTGAGTGTGTGTGCGTATGTGCACAGAGAGGTGTGTGTACCGATGGATGTGCTTGTCTGCGTGTAAATGTGTATAAACATGTCTGTGTGAGTAGGTGGCTCTGTGTGATTTCACTGATAGGACCATGAATGTGTGTGTGTGTGTGTGTGTGTGTGTGTGTGTGTGTGTGTGTGTGAGTGTTGGTGGGTGGCCTTACTCAGAATGACCTTGTTGTTCCAGGGTCTTTGTGGGCCTTTAGCAAAGTGGGGTTTCCTTGCCCAGTGTGCAGAGAGCCCTCCCCCAGCTTCTTCCTCAGGGGTTCTGGGAACTCGCTTCTCTCGGGGGGCTTGTCCGAGCGCCTGGAATGCACAGCAGATGCTCTTGATGGCTTTGAACTTTCTCAAACGAAGAGTCCTCCAAAGGCTTGTTTGTGCAGATGCAAATGGGGCTTCTGAAAGTCTGTGGGAGAATTCCATTATGTCCGCATTCCATTTTCCCTTCGCCTTTTTGAAGCCCCTTCGGCCAGTGAAATACGGTATCCTCACCAATTATTCCCAAAATGGTCACTGTCGGGAGCCCTGGCGGTGGAGCGGTTACCCGTAGAGAAGTTACCGAGCTGAACTTGAGTATCTCCAAGTTCAGGCGGCTGGCGCCCGGATGCAGGGCCCTGGCAGGGCCAGGTGCCTTCCCTCGGTGGCTCCAGGGAAGGCGCCTTCCTTCTGGGGCCCTGAGTCCTTCTCCCTGTCCATGGCTTTCAGCTGCCCCTTCCCAAGGAGTCACCTCCCATGGGCTGTTTTCATGTCTCTCTCCTCAGTGTAAGGCACCACTCAGGAGGGATTAGGACATACCCATTCCAAGGTGGCCACGTGCCAGCGACAACATCTTCAGAGAAACCCTCTTTCCAGACATGATCACATGCACAGGGAGAGAGGTTAGCATCGTAGCACGTGTCTTTTCGGTTGACACCGTTCTGCCCACGCCAGCCAGCAGTTTCTGTCCCCTTCGGTCAATTAGAGGGGAGTCAAAGCGAGAGGTTGAAGCCTTCAGCAATGGGTGTTAGAAAAATGCCCGTGGGTTTGGGTTTGTTTTTTTAACTTTTGGGAAAGTGCTTTCAGGAGAAACTCCACCCACACCCAGGGCCAGGGCCCCAGGCATGTCCGGTGGCCTCCGGGGTCCCAGGGGCTCACTCATGCTGTCCTGTGTGTTCAGAACATGACCGACACGGTGGTGAGGACCACGCTGCGCAATGACCTGTCCCCAGACGGCATCGTCCATTACCTGAAGATCTCCAGCCCCGTTCACTGCGCCTTCCGGAACGACCTTCTGACATCATCGGGGTACACCCCACAGTGGGGGTGAGTGGAATGCCTCACGGCCCCCTTTTCACAATGGGGTTCCTCTTGAGCACCTTTGATTTGGGGTTTGACCTGCTGCAGGGCCCATCCTCATAGCTGGCATCTCCGGGTGGTGCACTGCTTAGCACACTTAGCTGCCAACGGAAAGGACGAGGGTTTGAGGTCATCCAGAGGTGCCTCAGAGGAAAGGCCTGGTGCTCCACTTCTGAACAACTAGCCGCTGGGAACCGCGCGCAGCCCAGTTTTCCATGCGGGGTCGCGGGAGCCAGAGTTCACGCTGGCAACCGTCCCTCCCTTCCCTTTTGAGGGGAGTCCTGGGGCGCTGTAGGGTAGGCGTTGGCTCTCAAACTCCCCAGTCCCACTCAGGGGACAAAGATGAGGCTCTCTGCTCCTGGTAAGACTTACAGCCTCGGAAACCCTTCATGGAGTCCCTGGTCCTTGGAATGGGCTCGGTGGCAGTGGGTTTGGTTCGGGGTTTGGAGTTGGAAAGGGGGGAGTCACAGAAAGGACTGTCCTAACTACCACCCACCTTCTGCAGGGTCTATACCATTATCGAGGACCTCCACGGGGCCGGAAGCTTCGTCACGGAGATGCAGTTGTTTATTGGAGACTCTCCGATCCCTCAGAATTACAGTGTGTCTGCCAGTGATGACGTCAAGATCGCAGTGGGGCTCTATAAGCCAAACCATGACCTCAAGGTGGTACTCACAGAGTGCTGGGCCACCCCCTCTAGCAATGCCAGGGACCCAGTGACGTTCGCTTTCATTAACAACAGGTAGGGCTCGGATGGGCACTGGGCCCCGCTGCCTCCCCAGGCGTGCTGCCTGCTTAGAGACCTTCGCTTCTCCAGACAGGCCCTGAGATGGTTGTGGACTCGGGGCTGGGCCCCTGAGGGGACACCCCCCTCTTGGGAACTGTTGGGGTAGTTGGTCTGTGGGGCCCCGTTGGGCCCTTGTGGGGATGCTTTTGGTGTGGTGAGATGGAGCTACGAGGGAGCCCCTCTGAGACCACGCACGGTCTGTGGCCTGTCTTTGCAGCTGCCCCGTGCCCAACACGTACACCAATGTGATCGAGAACGGGGACTCCAACAAGGCCCAGTTCAAGCTGAAGATCTTCTCCTTCGTCAACAATTCCATCGTCTATCTGCACTGCAAGCTTCGCATCTGCATGGAATCCCCCGATGCCACGTGCAAAATTGTAGGTGTTTGGGCTTCCTAAGCATTTGTCTGCACCCCACACTCCTCCCTGTGATTGTAAGTGGTGCTCCCTCGGGTGTGATTGCTGCCAGGTCGTTTCTCCCCTGTGTAAGAAAGACAAAAAGCAATGAGGACGTGCCCTCCCCCAACATGGCCCGTGGTCATCGTCAGAGAGAGAGGGCCTATCTCTCCCATTTCACTGGAGAACCTTGTTGGGATTTTGATGACAAATTCATCATAGTTATGGATCGTTTGGGGTAGTATTGGCATTTTCACAGTGGTAGATGTTCTAATCCATGATCATTGACTGCTTCTCCATGTGTGTAACTCTCTTTGGGTTACCGTCAGTAGTGCTTTGTAGTTTTCCGTGCATGCGTCTTATACATCCCCAGTTAGATTTATCCCTTGTAGTACATAACCAGGCCTTCCTCTGAGGCACCTCCGGGTGAATTTGAACTGCCAACCTTTGGGTTAGCAGTTCACCATGCTGTCCATTTGCACCACCCAAAGACTCCATACAGTGCATTCACCGAGATTCCAATCATCTGCTGAACTGGAGCACACCCACAATCACCTCAGGAGCGCTGATAGGGAATCGGGTACCGTGTGCATGTAGAGCTGGGGTAACCCAAAAGACCAGATGGTAGCAATGAAATATCTCAGAGAGCGTCAATGCATTTTTTTTATTCTAAAAGGACTTGCTGCTGCAGTTAGAGGCTGCCGTCAGCCCCGCCCCCGTGTACAACGGAATCCCACATGGCTGACCCAGCACCGGCTCCTCAGGGGTTACGCTTGCGCCCAATTGCTGCAGCCACCGTGCCAAACGATCTCATTGAGGGTCCTCTTCTTTTCCACCGACCCCCTGCTCAGCCAAGTGTGATGTCCTTTTCCAGGAGCTGGTTTCTCCTGATCCTTGATTCCCACCCTCGGTGACCCCATTTGTTGCGAATCAGACGATGCTCGGTAGGGCTCCATGGTGGAATCCCATCAGCCACACCACCAGTCTTCTTCCAAGGTGCTTCCAGGGAGTTAGCACCATCAACCTTGCAGTTAGTAGCTGAGTGCATGCATTGCTTGTGTCACCCCAGGGACCCCTGTTATGTCTTCAAGACCTGCCCCTGACCCCCAATGAAATTTTAACAAGATCACAGAATTTCATAATCCAAAGGTCTCTCAGTCTTTGCCCTCCCAGCACCACGCAAGTTCTTTTGGAATGAGCATGTAGGAAGCAGATTCCACAGCGTCACCCAGCCAGGCAGCCCTGAAGGGAAACAGCGGTGTTCAAGGGAGGAAAGGGCTGCCTGCACAGCTCCTGAGACCTGGAAAGGAGGTGCCATCAGCACCAGGGCCTGGAGATGTGGCTGGGGCTGTCCAAGCCTCACTCTGTGTGCACCCCACTTCTTCAACCCCCCTGCCTCCTAGACCCAGCTCTCCTCCCCTTGCTGCCGCTGCCCTGCTGTCATCCCACCCGGGCAGAGCCCGTGGGCCTGGCCTCACCCACACTCTCTGCCCCCAGCAACACTGATCCATCCGGGACTCCGGGACCCTGATGGGATGAAACTTTGGAACGGAATCTTCCTCCCTCCTGAAGAGCAGAAGTCTCACCAATCCTGTCCACTGATGTGCAGTTTCTCTCCTTTAAAAACCACAGAACTGTCATGATTTCCGGTCCCTGAGAAGCGAGGAGACATCTGCCACCCACCAGACATCCTGGGGGCCCCTCATCCGGTCTGAAGGTGAGTGGACGACTTGCTTTAGAGAACTAAAGGAAGGACAGAGAGACCCCATTTCAAACCCAAAGGCCCCCCCTTGGCGACTCGGGCACTTACACTTGTCCTGAACGACGCGATAGTCAAGATGATGAGGGGAGCATTCATGGGGGCCTTCTGAGGTGTCCTGTCCATGCAGAATGTCCCATACACCTCTTGAAAACCTGCCTATCCATTGTCACCCCCATTTTATAGAGGAGGAAGCCGAGGCTTGAAGGGGTCATGCCTTTAAGTAATGTGACCTGTGAGCTGTGTTGTAGAAACCGCTGATATTTTCTGACGCTGGACGGAGACATTGAGTGGATTGTTAAGAGGAAACAAGGAACAGGAGCTATAGCCAGGTGGAGTCATACGGTGTGTGTGTGTGTGTGTGTGTGTGCCTGTGTGTGTACATGTGTGTGCACACGTGTGTGTGCACATGAAAAACCATTTAATGAAATATCAATCCAGTCTCTGTTGAGTCACCTTTGATTCATGGCGATCCCACGTGTCCCAGAGTAGATCTGATCTCTAAAGGGTTTCCAAACCTGCTGAGCAGTCAGCAGCACACAAGCCTCCACCGACAGGCCTGGGGTGGCTGTGCGTGAGGGGCATTGGCCAGGAATCGAGCCTGGGTCTCTGCAAGGGGAATCCAGCCCCTAGCACATCATCATGGGTCCGGTAGGTGCAATTGTACAGCGATAATAAGTAAATATTATAGAAAAGTCATAGAGAGCATGAGAGATAGAAGAGAGAGAGGAATACTGGAGTCAGACACACTTCATGGTAGCAATGCTCACATCAGCCTCACTTGGTGGTCCACGTGGAGAGAGAGAGAGAGATTTAATGCTAACCAAGGCTTTTATAGTCTCTGGAGACATGCAAGCCCCCTAATTACAGGTGAAGACATGCGTCACAGGAAAGGGTGTGGTATAGGTAATACAGTAATGGAAGTGGGGGTGATCTAAGGGTATACACACAATAGGAAGAAGAAGGATTGGGGGTATACATGTGACAAGATGGGTGGAGCCTAGATTCAAGATGGCAGCTTAACTTTGACTGTCACTGAGCTGGTTTGACCTGTTCCCTGGCACCATTATCAGTAGGGTGTGAACTCCACCTACAGGAACCAAATCAATGCTGCAAGTCTTTAGGGAGTAGTCTATTGTCCTTATCAGCAGGGAGCAGGGCCTACCATAGTCTGGGGACTGACTGCCTTCAGGGAGGATGTCTCTAAGCATTTGACCTCCCCCCATATGCTAGCAAAAAGCCCCTAATGTTTGGTATGTCTTTGGGGGAGACAAAGCTGGGGAAAAGTCTCTTTGTAATCCCACAGGTCTCCCACATGGAAGGTGAGAATCCTGCCCCTGTACTACCACTGCCCCTGAGATCCAGCTAAGCCTGTTATACTGAAGATGAAAAAGGAAAAAATATCCGGCTGCTGATTCTCCAAGTAGAATATTTTTACCAGCCAATCGCATGCTGTGTGTTTTGAAACTCAATTTGAAATGGTGTCTTTTGGGTGTTAAGACAGAAGCTTCTACTTGTCTCCTGAGATCTGTTCTCGGCTGCTCTCATGGT